CCCGGGCCCCCCCGCAGCACGGGGCCGTGTCTGCTTTGCCCGGGCGAGTGCGCTGCTGCAGCCGGTTTTTCTCTCTGTGCGCTGTCAGAGGCCTTTGGGGCAGCGCAGGAGGCGAGTCCCACTCGTCTGGTGCCCTTTGGGGTTTTTCTGCCCTTTAACCGGCCCTGCTGGCACAGGACCGTAGGATAACTCAAGTAGGAAGGGACCTAGTCCAGCTGCCTTGCCTATGTTCTTCTCCGTCCTACTATCCATCCCCTTTCCGAGTCGAAGACGAAATCTAGGGCACAGCAGGATTGCATGTTCAGGGCGCACTGCTCTCTGTAGCAGAGAGGACACAGGCAGAGTGATGTGGCTAGCATCAGGCAGCGTTGGGCTACCCAGCCTGAATGAGCAAGTACGTTTTGCAGCTGGGTTTCCAGTGTGCTGCCTTCAGTATCAGTCCAGAACAAGGCTCAACCTCTCTATCTGGATTCATAGCCAACTATTAATTCACTGCTTCTCATACATCTCCCCTTATGATCACTTTTTCTGGGGTAGTGACCCTGTTCCCTTTCAGAGCTCCAGGCATGCAGATGCGCAGAGCATCATGCTGTCTACACCAAGAAAGCTCTTTGAACCATTTTGTTGCCAGATTCCTTCCTCTTCTGAAGTCCCTCATTTTGAATGCTTCTCTTGACACGTTTATGTCTTATGAATGTCTTTCTCCTTATTCTGGGCTTTGACAGGAGGTTGCTGAGGATTTAGTAAAATAGTAAGGACTAGATTTGCATCCAGAATAAATCATATACAGGGAGAGGCTTTGCCTCGTGTTTGTGGTATGGGCTCACATGGCTCTGTGGAACATGCACAACCCATGCCAAAGGTCGTACATCTTTCTATCTGAAGAAACTGTATGGAAATTGCCCAAAGTGAAAAAGGGAAGGCGGAGGATGCCCAGGGCACTGCAGCCAGGAGGGGTTTGAGGGCACCCCGCTGGTCCCGGAACCTCTCCCTCAGAGACCTCTTGTGACCCGCAAGGCTGGAAAGGGGAAAATGGCATCTCTGTGGTGCTTTCAGAGTTCCCCTGTATCTTTTTTGCTATTTGTGTGTTCACATCATTAACCCTACGTATGTATGATACATGACAGCTTTGATTTCTAAGTATTACCTGTATTTAAACAGTTACACAGTTAAATATAACAGTGAAAGCTCCCGTTTCTCTTCCATTACTTCCAGGCCTCTCTGTATTTTTTTCCGCTTATCTTTATGTGCATCTCTCTGTAAGGTGAGGAATAAAAATGGTTGAAGAATCACAATGAAGTTGGTTTGTGTTGCCCTGGCAAAGCGGTGTCCAGTCTAGGTGGATGCGTTTGGAGATTGCTGTCTCAAATTCACCCACGGTGCCTGCAGGGGACGTTGCAGTCATGCAGTGCATCTGCTCTCACAATTCTCGTGTGGTGGCAGAGAAGCATTATTAGCTCAGCTTCTTCAATAGAGAGCTAAAGACCAGGCACAGCAATTTGTTTAGGAGACAAAAGATTCAG